CAGACTCTTAGTGACACTTTTTCTAACCATATTTTAGTACGACTGGAAAAATATGAAATTTGACGAAAAACTCTCAATCGATGCAAATTTCGGGGTCATATCACTTCTCAGGAATTTCAATGTAATTTCCAAGTGTTCATTGTTTTGATTTGGAATTTCGCTATTAGTCAGCAGCACACCAACGTTTCGTATGTGGCACTACTTTTGCAGATAGAACTTCTGCTTTTGTTAAATATTCGTTGAGTAGTGACTGATAAACTGTAGCAGTCTCACGATCATTCTTATGTACAAGATAAATGGTAATTATTTTCTCGAGTAGCTTGACAATCTTCTCTGAGTTTGCCTCGGTACCATCTTTTTGATAGAGCTCCAGTAACCTTTTAGAAAGACGTAGTTCTTTAGCGAGCACACTGCTACGTTCATCATAGATTATACAACATTTTAACATACTTTCAAGATGTAATTCTAAATATTTTACAATCATGAATTTATTTCCTTCTTTCTCTTCTTCGTTATGATCATCATCTGTATGTTTTACTATTATAGTGAGCTTTTTCCATACATCTCATGTAGAAGTTCATAAATCTTAGTCGATTGCACTTTGATAGTGACTGATTGATTGATAGATCAAAGTTCTCTCTACTCATAAGAAAATCTTCTAGATAGTAATAGTAGATAATACCAATTTCATAGTGAATTCAGCCAATACCAATATAAGCATTTAATTCCTCATCATTTTTGAATTCAAAGCAAAATTTCAATGCTTCATGATAGTTGTCAGTGTGAAAATGTAATTGGATTCACGGTCAACGTTATACATTACAAAACAAGACATTTTCACTGCTGAAATCGATTTCTTCGTTGGAAATAATTCAATCAATTCATTGAGTACAATCTGTATATGATGCATTGTTGTGCTATAAAAATCTGTTAGTGTTTCAGTCAATAATTCAATGTAATTTCTCATTGTTCTTCTTTCACCAAAACCTTCAAGTATTCGACCATCATCTTTTTCGATTGTGTCCAAGAGGAGTTTCAGGTAAGCACAGCCAGATTTTTCTTTCTACATCATAGTATATATCTTTCTCCATCATTCTAAACTCGAGATCAGGCATCAATAGAATTTCTGATTCACTAGAAAAGCAGCTTACAGTTGATATATCAGCATAGGAAAAGATGTTTCAGCTAGATTCAATTCAATTTCGAACAGAATACTTTGTACTAGTAGTTTATCGTCCGAACTCGATGCCCTAAGATAAAATTCTGACATAGCTGGATCAACAGTTGTAGACAGCAAACTATTAGTCACCATGTTACCAATCAGAATTCTTTAATTTTTCAACTTCTGCTTTTGACATTATTTATCAACGATATACCATAAATTTCGAAGTTTTCAATTGTTTTTCAAGAAATTTTTCATCGTCATATTTCAGCTGTTGATACAAATCTCGAAGAAAGAAACCAAAGAGAAACATAACATATGCTGTGAGCTAATATACACAGACAATAACTCTATCGTTATGGTTGTTATTTGTCTTTGGCATAATCATACATTGAATATTAATAATTACTGAACATGGCTGTACATGAATAATAGCTCATTGTTGTAGAGTGTAAGGCTCAGCGAAGAGAACAAGTATTGTTTCTCACGACTTGAGAATGAGATTGAGCTAAGAAAATGGACAAAGTTCAATACAAGGCAGTACGACCCACGATAAACATTCTTCTGAAAAGACCCATCATCAAAGATAATAGAAATACAATAATGCTGTAAAATATAAGTCAGAAGCAAAACGACCAATAAGAAACATGTGGATTAATTGCTCTTCTAGAAAGTTGGCTTCCAAAGGAATTGGAAGAATACTGTTTAATAGTAAACTATGAATTGGATATGTATCTGCCTTGAGAAGTTACGTGGATGGATAGTTCAGACTTTGAAGATAGGTGCTAGTTTGAGAGTTTCGTTAAACGTAGATTATTATCTCACCCTAGCCCCACATATCCGCATTCACATTAGCAAGCATCCCAACTGAAGTTAGTCATCCGAAAATCATCGAAGTTATGCTCTTTGTTTAATTAAATTGTCACACTTACCAGCATCTAAAACATCGACACTATACTCAATCTTTAACTTTTGTGAACCTTTTTTTAAATAAGGAAGGATAAAATTTAATGAATGTAGAATTGCAAGTTTTATAATTGATGAGAATCCTCCATGAAACAGTACTGAATGTATATTTATCCAATCAAATTAACAAAAAAAATCAGTGACGTTTCATATTTCAATGTGATACATCGTCAGACATTAACATTAACATAGATGACTTAATACATGAACACATGACAAGCGAAAACAAAGCCAGTAAATCAGACTATTTTCTTCTTATTATTCAGTTATTCTTTGATAGTAATACAGAAAAACAAGATGGTAGTAATGGTAGCTAGATAGAAATTTGATCATTTTTCGTGTCACTAGCAAAGAATGACTGAAAATATGTATATAGTTTGGTTTGTTTGTTTTTGTTTTGTTCCATATTCACTTCTACGTGATTGTATGTTCGTAGTTATCTTATAGAGAGTGTAAGAGTGGATCTGCTTCTCTTCTACACCCACACTCATTACATTCAATATTCATATTATACACTCGTTACACAGAAAAAAGATGATTCACCAGCTAAACCCATTCCATTTGTTCCAAAAGTTTCTTTCAAACAATCAAAAACTTAAGTTTTTATAAGACCAACTTACTACGAAGTTAATCTTGCCATTTGAAAAATTATCTATTAATAGCAATTCATCAACACTATTGTATACAAGCTATTAATTACGATTCAGTGATGATTTCATGATAACAAAAATGACTGAATGGTTAAGTAAAATATTTCGAAAAAAGAAGCAGTCCAAATCTATTTTTAAAATTCAACAGTTTATTCTATTTTGAAGACTCGTACTAAAGATCTAATAGTGAATTCATTTCAGTCAATACAAGACAAGCCTTTACATAATGCACACTTGAATCGCTTCATTTTACTGTAGAAGCTATTCAAAACTATACAGCATAATGTTAGACATAAGGCATGTTTTTTCTGTGCTTAAGAGTGCAGAAAAGCAAGTACTATTTTAATCTCTGTAAATCAATAAAAATCAAAATATTTTAGAAAAGATGCAACATCAAATTCATGATCATCAACGAAAAACCAAGTGATACAATTAGTGGGACTTATATTTAAAATTCCATCTAAATTTTCGTTTAATATCTTTCCCAACAAGCTTTTCTTAATACAGCATTATCTTTGACAAATATTGTGCAATATTTGATTTGATCTGATTCATTCAGAATAGGTTGTAAAATTTCATAAACATCAATGTCATGTGCATAAGTCAATACGACTATCAAGGTGTTTGGGTACAGCATAAGTGATGAATCATAAAAAGTCATTAGTGGATTGTGAGTTTCAATAAAAGTGGATAAGAAATCGAGACAAATTGTCTGTTCGGATGAGTTCATAGTGATATCATCTCACGATTCCTAGGACTAATAAATCCCCAAAAGTCTTCGATTTTCTAGGCGATTTTCACTACGTGAGAAGAAACAAGTAAACATTTAGTTCAAGTTAGCAGTTTTTCCCATAAGCTGTTTAGATGAAAAAAGCAACAAAAATTCTTAAATCGAATGACTCCACGAAATTTTTTTCAATTGTTCTTTTTCTGAACCAATAGTATCCTTCATAGATGTCAATTACATGCACGAACGAACGTAACATTCTACTGCGTTTAGTAACGCTCTTGAGTCGTGCATGACTCTTTTTTTTCTCTCAGGGTTGCACAAAGATAAAATACTTTTCTACTATGGAATTTTTAAACAAAAAGCAATAGAATTTCTTTCTTAGATTGAGAAAAACCCAGTATTACTTGAGTATAAATATGCCAACATGTCAATGCTACTCACTTTGCTTACTTTTGCTTCAACCAACAACACATCAAGTCATTTTTTCCTGTTCTCTTATATATACAAGAAAGTCTTTCGCAATTATATTTCGTTGGAAAAAACCAAGTATCATCATATAGAAATTTGAGTCGTCGTTACATTTTATTAAATAAAATTATTATGGCATCAAATCATCAACCAAATTTTATTCGTCAAGAACGAATACTAGTTTCATCTGCAATTCCTTCTGCTACACTTGATCTTTTTGCACTTCCTCGACGTCCTGCTCCAACAAATTCATCACGTCAAAGGGGTGAATATCTTTTAACCAACCATTTCTCCTGTGTATTCGCCAATAATCTTCCGCTATATCAATATGATGTAGCTATTGAAGAACTCGGCTCATGTTCAGGTGAATGGTATGAATCTAAAGGTCGGTCACGCTGTGGTCGTATTATGCAATTACTTATCTGTAACGGTGGCTTTGATCCACAAGTTGTCGTTTGGTATGACGAACAAAAATGTTTATACACTACATCATTGTTAACGTCACCACAATTGATCATTAGTAAAGATGGTCGAAGTCGGCTGAATATCAAATCATTGGCTAATCAATGGTCAACAAATGATATTCAGGATTATATCAATATGATGCAGTGCGTATCCTTGAAACACTTCTGAAGAAATCACTGCAAGATCAAGTTGAAGTTGTTAATAATACTTGTTATTTTTTGAATGAACCACCTAAGAAATTGGCTGGTGGATTCGAAGAAAGGCTTGGTTTTACTCAGGCACTTAATCTATCATCTGGTCGTTCAACATTAAATATTCAAACAAAACTAACAACATTTTATCCTGAAATTGCTCTGCTGGATTTTATTCACATTCAAATTGGTTCAAAGCGAATACCAAATGAAAATGAATTTAAAAAATTAAATCGAATATTAAAAAATTGTTTGGTTGTTACAAGACAATCAAATTGGAAACAAGCTTATGAAATTGATCAATTCGACCAGCGACGACCAACTGAAATCACAATTGAATCAGGTGAAACATTAGTTGAATATTACAAAAACGCAAAAAATATTACATTAAATCAAACAAATTATCCATGCATTCAAGTATATCTTCCTAATGAATACAACAAACCTTGCCATTTACCTTTGGAAGTTTGTCGAATTAAAGGATGGCAAGTCTATGACAAACCGATAAGTTTAGATAATCACTAAAAATTCCCATTCTCAAGATTAGATCAACAATCCATGATAAAAGCTTTTCCTGACCTTCGCACGTAGGATTTGGTGAAGAACACAAAAGAAAAAATAGAAAAACTGAGGACATTGAATCGGAAAAAGGAGAAAAAAAAACTAAAGTTGAAAATGACATTTTTTAATAATATTCACGACGAGAAAAACTTTGGTGTATCTCATGAAAAAAAATAATAGAAAAAAAGAGAGGTCTATAAATCTTAATTCCATTTTTGTGAGATGTAGGTGTAAGTCTTTTTTGTTCGCACACCCAAACCAACATCCACTCCTATGCATACCCATACCCATACATATCAACTTACACCAATAGCCCCCCCTCCCCATCAGTACACACCTACACTCAACACTCAAACACATCCACACCCATGCCTAATCTGTAATAATACTGATAACGAATTATGTCATATGTTACGTTATCATCCCGCTAAATTGTATTTAGCTTTTATCTAGAAAAACAGTTTGTATTCTC